ACACAGGTCTTTCAACCACAGCAGGAATAACAATATCACTTGAAACATTATAATCAAACAATAATGCACGTCTGGGTTCAGAACACTCTGGCTATAAGAGTGGAAGGCACTGCTCAGTGTAAAGCGCACAGTTTAATAAGAATGCAGTCTGGCAAACATTGGCCACTTCTATAAAGGCAGAGATGAATCTCACAATAGGTTGTAAACACAGCGAGAAAAGGAGAGGGACGGGGAGGGGGCAGGGAGAAGGGACTGGGAGGGGAGGGGAGGGGTGAAAAGGGTGTGGGGAGGGGAGAAAGAGGCTTTCTAAAGGTGAATGCATGGTTCTATCATCCTGCTATGCCTGGGAAGAAGGTGTTAACTGGAAGGTGAGGAGAGAGAGGTATCAGGCTTTCCTGATCTGGCTTCAGCCCCAGACTCAGATAGACTTAAGGTTGTCACTCTCGGAAACCAGCCATTCTCCTACTCTGTAAAACCTTCCACCAGAGGCCTTGCAGGGGACAGGCAAGACTAGAAACTGTAACAAGGCCAGAAATGGACTAAAATAAAGCAAAATGAAACGAAGGCTGGAGCTCGGGGGAGCAGAGCTGTCTTCTGGGTGGGAAATTGTCCTGCTCTCATTAACTGCTCTCCTGAGAGGTAAAAGTGCAACGCAGACACATGGTCCGATCAGCACATGCCACATGGCAATCTGTGGAATACGCAGCCATCAGAGCGACTGCAGATCTGTCCTTCAACATCTTTCCCACACAGCAAAAACAATGGATGTGTTGGCCTAAGCCGGGCACACAGGAGACCATCTGAATTCACACCTGTGACGCCACTACAGGGGATCTCCTGAACCCCTCAGTGTCGCTTTCACCTGCTGTCTCTGGTCCTCCTTTCTTACCTGAGCTTACAGCTGTAAGATGTTCAAGCTGACAGCATCTTAGAAAACTCACCGGCTGGGACTCAGGTTAAAGTTGAGGACACTTCTGACCAGCACACATGGCCACGGCCACACACCCAGGCAGCGGCATGGTGGGAACGAAACCTCGAGTCTCCTGAGCAGTGCTCTAGTGAGGGCTTTCCTGTCACCCCGGGAAAGGCTCCTCAGCCCTGCTCACTGATGTTATCAATAATGCAGAGCCTGGAAGGAAGGCAAGCAGGTGCTGAGGCTGACTCCGCTGTAAAAGCATCCTGCCAATTGTCCCTCCTTGCTTCGTGGTCAGTCCAAACAGTTTGAGGCCCCAGCAGGTGGTTCCTGGCTTTGTGTCTCCTCCATGTTCTCACCCACCAGAAGGCCTGGCATGGAGGAAAAGCAGCAGATGGCTGTTGCACAAATCCTGGTTGCTATATTGGACTTGTCCTGCATTTCCTGCTGATGAAAGAACTTGGCCAGGAAGATGCATGCTAGTTGGAGAGGTGAGCAGCGTTCCAAAGGGAGATGGATGCGGGGATTGAGACCCAGGGGTAAAGATTTCAAAAAGATTTCAAAAATGCATCTATTGTAGAAGCTCTCACTCTTCTCCAGGGAAAGGAGAGCTGCCAGGGACTGGCAGGGAGCAAACGATGCCTCATCTCCCGACAACATGTGTCCCCCAGCTGGGCCACTTCTCGCTCTGCACAGCGAGCACTGGCCACTCTCACCTGTGCTGTGGCAGGAGCTGCTGGACTCCTTGCTTCTCCCCTGCGGACTGCTAAGCAAACAACTGCATACCTCCCTCTCTTGCTTTCTTCAAATCTCCACTTAAATATCACGCCCTCAGAGAACTTGTCCGTGGCCTCCCTAGGGCAGGCAGCGCGACGCTCCTCCCCCATCACTCTCTCCACCATCCCCACTTAGCTTTGGCTTGTGAGCTTACTCTCGGCAGAAGAGATGCTTAGTGTTTTAAGGTACTGTGAATTGAACCCAGGGCCTTCACATTAAGCTACTTTCCCAGGCCTTTCTATTTTATTTTACAACAGGCCTAAGTCCCTCGGGCAAGATTTAAACTTCTGATCCTCCTGCCTCAGCTTCCCAGAGTGATGGGATTACAGATGCGTGCCACCATGCCCGACTGCAGTTATCTCTTTAGAGTCTCTTGTCCCCACCTTCAGCTCTTTGCAGACAGGACTCGCTCTGTTTGCTTCTGGGGCAATGGCTGACATGGGGAAGGTGCGCAGTATAAACTCAGGCCTTGCACGGTACAAGTGCGTGTCTTCAAACTGGCTGCACTAGAGAAGACCTCACCTCTGCTGCAAAGCCCAAGACCAGCGGCCCCTGGTCTCTCTGTACACACAAGTTGTGTCTTAATCTTCCCACCTTCCACGCTGCCCCATTTCCAAAGGGTGAGCACTGAGCCTACATGAGGCCTGGCCCACAGACAGCAGTCAGCGTCCCAGACGCAGAGGTCCCAAGAGTGACCCAGAATCTCAGCCCCAGGGAAGAGCTCGCACCATTGCCTCCGAGACAGGACCAGTGCCAGCGTGGTGCCCTGTGGGGTCGGAGTGGAAGAGAATGGCAGAGGAAAGATAAGGTGCCACAAACAAGACAGATAATCATTCTCTTTCTGTTCTCGTTCCATCTTCAAGGCATTCTGTTCCCTTGAAAGTGCATCTGCTGGACACCCAATCAGAAAGCTCCTTTTTTTTAGCCTTAAATAGTCAGGACTCTGAGTTCTGCAGCAGGCGGATGCTGCTCTTTCAACAGGACTGATTTTTCCCAGTCTTTGAGAGGAATTGGGCACAGGCAACTCCGCCTCCTTGCAGGAGGAGAATATGGCACTAACGAGGGTGCGATATGTTTCTAGGGTGTTTTTAGAATTCCATGCCCAGTTATTGTGCTTGGAAGAATTCATTTTAGACAGGATGTCATAAATCAGACAAAGGTCATATGCAAAGATAATCATCCAAGCACTATTAATAATAGGGAAAAAGTTGCAAATAAATGTCTAAAAATAAAAGTGATAATGCATATAAAATTCTTAGCCCAGTGCCTGATACACAGTGAGTATCCCATAAGGAGCAGACTAACATTTTCATTTTGAATAATCAAAGGAAGTCTGGTATAGCTATACGATTCTACCCACCTTATGTTCAGAACCCCCAGTCTTTTCCCACTGCCCAGTATTTAATCCACCAGATCTGTTCTTTCTACCTCAACCACAGCAGTCTTCGTTAGTCTTCCTTCTGAGGGGTGGCTACAAAACAAAACACCTTCAATAATTTAATCGGCATTTTTCAGCATTTGTTATGTTCTGAGTCCCGGGTAGGATAAGCACTGCCAGAGCTGCTGAAACTACTGGGGTGTGAACCCAGCCTGTCAGCAGAGGACCCCGAGTGAGGGTCCAGAAGGGTTTTCTCAGGGCTGTCAATCAAGCAGATAAAGCAAGCTGTGATGGATGGGGCAGCAGGTACCTCTTTCCTATAGGAAGCATCAGTGGTCCCAACTCTGAAATCATGAGCTATGATTCCTTCCAGGGAAGGAGAAAATCAACAGGCTCTCAGAAACTGGGCATTGGTTGGAACCCCTGCCCCTTTCCACCTCTACACACAGCACAAGCACACAATGCACTAACACACAATTCTATATGAACACACACACTCTCTCTCTCCACTTCCTCTACTCAGGCCATTCTCCAAATGTGGCTGCCGTTCAATCCTAGGCTCTGGAGACAACAAGATAAACAAGCTCCCTCCTATGGTTTCTGATGCTGTGAAATCCTAAGAGGAACCAGGGACCGGGGGTCCCTCAGCGGTGTTCTCAGGAAAGAACAGCTGGACAAGCAGATGCAGAGAAGGATGTGGCTGGAAGGGACGTGAGAGAGCACACACCCTGCAAGGAGGATCAGGTTGACCAAGTGACACTAGAGTCCCCAAAATGATCCCAGAACCTCCCCACCTCTGGTCCCCACCAACCCCGACTCCATCTCTCCTGCTTTGCCCTACTTGCTCTGGATTTACCTGGACAGGACAGAGGCAGACATTTCTCAAAATGTAGAGATGCCTACGCATCTACACTGTGACCCTTTGCAAGTAAGTCGCTGGCCATTTTCAACCCGTGAGAGGAAGAGAAAAGAAAGGAAGAAAAAAAAAATCCACATTCCTTTCCATTTAAATAATTCCCAACTGAACTAGAAGCCTGTGTTCACCTAGATACCAGGGGCTGGTTCCTTTGTGTAAATAAAAGAGTTTTCCTAGATGCTGCAGAGAGCCAGAGGAGAGGAATTCTTAGCAAGAAGTTTCTCCTAGTGAACCGGGAGTGCCTGGTGGGATTGCCTAGGCCTGGTTTGACACTTCTGGAAATTCAGGGTAGCAGGGCAGGTTTTGAGTGAGACTAACAGGCTCATCGGAGGAACTATTTTCAATCCAGCTTGCTTGTATCAGTTATTTCTTCTATATCCAATGGATTTTGAACACATATCCTCTAGGTGAAGAGCTTGCCTGGGAATGAAGATAGCACTCACAAAGGGCCACATGTCCCAAGGTGCTGGAGTCACACTCTGCAGCTGGTTCACTGGACATCTTGAAAAACCAACCAAGGGAATGCCTTTGAAAGTCTTTATCTTGGAGATCAAATAATGGTTGATGTTACATTTGAGATTAAATATAAAGTACCTGGCCCAGTGGCTGCCACAGAGAAAATGACATACAAATACCAGACCCAGGGGTGGGGGTGTAGCTCAGTGATAGCGTGCTTGTCCATCAGGGATGAGGGCCTGAGTTCCATCCCCAGTACAGTGAAAAAATAATCCAAATTTTTAAGAAAGACCCCAAAAAAACCAGAATGCCAGCTTTTGGGTCGAGACTGGATTCCCAGTAGCATCTGGAACGCGTAGGCACCGACACAAACGTGGACACTGCTGACGGAGACAGGGATTGGTCCGTCTGTGGAGCACTTGCTAAGTGAAAGCTCTGGCAGACAGCATCACACGGTGCCCTGAGGATGTGCCCAGACCCACAATGCCAGGCACAGGAGGACGCAGAGGGCACCTGGGACCTGAGCCAAAGCCTTTCGGGGAGGAAAGCAGCAGAACTGGGCTGGGTCCCTGACAGTCTAAATGCCTGCTCCTCCTAACAGGTTACACTGCCCTGCATGAAGGAATTCTTAAAGTAGCTCAGAGATGGCTTTTTCCCCTGAGAGCCCTGGCTCCTACCTGACCCCCAAAGCAGGGACATCTCCAGAAGGTGGATCCGCCATCTCCCGAAATAACGATAGTGACAATGGGTCAGAGTCGCTACCCCATGGCTGAGCCATCAGCCGGCCTTCATGTCCCGCCCGTGACTCCGGGTTGACCCTTCTGCCTCTCATACTGCACTGTCTGGGTCGCAAGATGACTGGCGGCTTGACTGAGCCACAGACCCACCCCACGCCCGGTCCTCGCCGTGATCGCCCCTCCTTCCTGCACGGCCCCTTCCCAGCCTCACCGTATCCTGCAAAGTCCCTGGCATGCTGCCCCTGCCCTAGGGAAGGTGAGCATTGTGCTGCAGGCACCTGAGGTGAGTCAGGTCACAAGAAAGGCCTGGGATAAGCAGGATAAACAATCCCCCTAGGATCCCAGAAATGGGGTACTGGGTTGATGGTTAAGGCGAACCCAAGCAAGGGGCAACCCTGTGCCATACGAGCAAAACAGGGACTGGGAACTAAGCCAGACGGGAGGAACAAGGGCTACTGACAAGTGTTTCACATCCTCCCTGGCTTTCTTTTGCTTCTGCACTGGGCTATATCCCAGCCCGCACCCCTTTTCTTTTTAGTTTGTTATTCCCCCTGCCTCAGCCTCCCAGAGTGCTGGAATTACAGCCGTGCTCCATCACGTCCAGCGACTGGTCCCTTTTCAAAGGCTCCAGCCTGGCCCAGCACAGGGCTGATGGCACCCAGGCTCCATCCCTGCACGCTCTGCACCCTAAGAGCTCCTCAGGGCTGAGGGCACAGCCCCCTCGAGGCGGAAGGCCAGAGAGAAATACGTGGCCTTTTCCATCCTCAGGCCTGGGCACTGCACTCCTTTGCCTTGTGTTAGGAGCAGAAAGCACCACTGCCCCACTTTCCAGCTCTTTGTGGCATCTTCAGAAGATGGGACCCAGCCTGTACCCTGCCCTGCACCCAGCGTACAGTGTGTGTGAGAAGCAGGGGCTGGAGAGGAAATGAAAAGGCTGTGCAGGCCGAGGGCAGGCGCTGCCACCTGAGGCCCCGCGGCCGACAGTGGAAATGCAAACTTAACATTTTCATTTTCCCAGAGCCCTCTCATCTCAGCCACCCGGTGTGACTATGCCCTGGTTTTTCACTTCTACTATCATTTACACCCAGAATGTGAACCAAGACTCCACGAACAAGAGGAGGAAGGGGAAAAAAAAATCCTGTTCAAGTTTTTAGGTCACAAAGCCTGGGAAACCAGCACACAGCTG